GAAATCTCGTCGCGTAGGAGCTTCTTATTGATTGACCTAATTTTCCTGAAAGTTATATGCGATCTTTTAAGGGCAGGTTTGCACACTTGGAGTTTGGAATAGACTGGCATGTGGTCAGAAAATAGATAATCGGTCCTTGGGGTGGAAATATCAAGCTGGTCAGACAATCTTGTAAGAGTAAGATCAAGGGTGTGCCCGCTGATGTGAGTGGGAGCGGTAACATGTTAGTTTAGACCAGTACTCTCGAGTAATTCACGCAGTGTCAGCTTCCACGTCCATGTGTATGTTAAAGTCCCCAGTAATTAATAGAGCAAAAAACTGCAGATTCGAGAAATGCTGAGAACTCTTCGAAGAAGACACTTGTGGTGACGGGATGTGCGTCAGAGTATGGTATTCTGTAGATGATAATAAGGTGGATCCGGTCGGTTTCAGACTTAATATTCCACGTAGAGTACTCAAATGATCGCAGTTCAGCGGTAGCTCCTTTTTTCACAGTAAGGTTGTCCCTGAACAGTACTCTAGTCCCTCCCCCTGTTCGACTAGTTCGTGGATAGTCTAGAAGTTTGTAGCCAACAGGCATACAGAGTGTTCGCGAGGCTGACTCCATCGGATAAAACCATGTTTCTGTTAGAGCAACCACATCTGGTTTGTACTCACAGACAAGATCGGTAAACTCGCCGGCTTTGTTATTCAAGGATTGTGTATTGAGTAAGCAAAAGTTCAAGTCGATAGAGTGATGATCTTGAGTAGCGTTGCTGTTAGATCCAGTTAGTGGCCTCAGAATGTTGTTATATGTGTACTACGTTGCCTAATAAGACGGATTCTAGGCGTTACCACAGGAATTCTAAACTTGAATGCGTTTTCTGTAAAGCTTGTGAAAACTAGTGTGTTGGAACGTTTTGTTAGTGGCGCTCTGTTAACTGTAATAAGATTCGAGAGGTTCCTTGTTCTAGTAGACAATGGAGTGCAACGACACGTCACATGAGTGTGAATGGTTGATTGATCGTTCGTGTTACCGGGGTTTAATTAATCGTGGGCTCAATTCTCGAATAACGACTGGTTATCCAGCCTAACGAAGTTAAGAAGAGAAATCTGAAGACTAATGAACATTATACATTCTTGTATTGCGCCTTGTGTGGCTGCATGTTTTTGAGCTCCGTTTAACTCCCCTTTAATACTCGTGCTAATGGCCTACAACCGTCTTAAAAGCTTTCGTAAATCCTTTCTAAACACCCTATGGCCTTCTTACCGTGGGAAACGTGCGGGTCACACGTAAGAGAGAGAGAAAGAGTCCCCATCAAACAGATTTCTATTTTTCAACACCGAAAGTTAGCGGCTGTCTTTGGTTTCAGCTCCGTTACGCTGTCACAACCTTGCGAACTGTATACAAATTACTCCAGCCCCTAAAGACGCAAAAAGGAAGGGTTCGCCGACGGCTTATGTACCATCTTTATTTGTCTCGAATGTAGTAGTCGTAGAAGTCTTTATTTCCTCACAAGATAAAAAATACATATCTCATGTCACAATATTTGAGTAAAAAGTATATATATCTAAGTTATTTACAATTAAAATACGCTCACATAGCTAAATTGTATTTAAAAATTAAGCGATTAATGTAAGAGTTCTTGAATCTATCTGTATTAACTTTCGGATACTGACTTGTTTGATTCCTTAAATTGTAAGTCGATTCTTTATTCTTGGGTAATAGTCTCCTTAGAGGGTGTCGGTCTATGCCAGATACCTTACGAAATGTCATGTCCTTGGCTCCCAAAGTGGATGAACTGCGTCATGTTGTCAAGTATGCTAGTTTAGATCTTGTTTGTAGTAGTATAGTATAAGTATAGCAGTATAGTAGTATAGTAGTATAATAGTATAATCTTTATTTAAGCACGAAACAATTCATCAGCAATTACATTAACTAAAACTATTTAAAAATTAAACACTAACTAATAACTAAAAGCTGTTTTCCGTGAATGCCGTGCGTTATAGAGTGGCATTGATCTTGCGTTTAAATAACCCCAGAGACTCTGTGTTCCTTATATCACATGGAAGACTATTCCATAATGTGGCTCCACTATAGCTAAAGCTTTTTCGATAATAGTTAGTGCGAGGTAGAGTAGTACGGAGTCGTGGCTTAAAAGCCGCATTCAAGACAATGTGGTTGCGCTGGAGAGCTACAATATCATCCGTAGGGACAGAACAGAGGCAGAACATTGCGGTGTGTGCGTGTGCATCAAGAATACTATAAAGTTTACAGTTGTAGACGATTTAGAAGGCCCCTCTTTCGAGGCGTTATGGATTCAAATTAGTCCTACTCGTCTCCTAAGGGGATATAGCTCTATTCTTGGAAAGGTTGTTGTTATTCATCGTGGTGAATAATAATAAAAGCTAAGTTTTTCGTTTGTCTCATGATGTAGTCACGTGTCATGGAGATCGCGACGTTTCGACTGCATACTGCTAGTCTTCTTTAGGCGATGAGGTCGACTGGTCATGCGTGATCTTATAAAGCATGATGCTCTGCTGTGATTAGTTGTTTTTCAACAGCTCTGATTGGTGCATTTCGATCCTTACTGATCAGCGATTTGCTCTCTCGGCGGTCCGCTGTCGCACAGCTCTCCTGCTGTTGTGTTTTTTGATCGTGGGTATCCACGCTTCTGGAATTTCTATTCCACTATCCCTGTTGATGTTGTCAGGGTAAAGTCTTATGTGAATTGCCTCTTTGACCCTGCGCGTGTAGTAATAAGGGTCACGATCAATAAACTTTACTTCATTCCAGAGTGGCTTGTGTCCGGAGTTGTGGGCACGCTCTGAAACGGCGGAGGTCTCGGTACGGGCGAGTCGAATGTCTCGATCGTGCTCCTTAATTCTGTCTTGCATGGGTCTTCCAGTCTCTCCGATGTATACTTTGCCACATTCACAGGGAATCCTGTAAACTACGCCATCTTGTTTAGCCGGGTCGACAGCGTCTTTTGGTCTTACTAACTGAGATCTTAGCGTAGTCTCCGACTTGAAAACAGCGCGTACGCCTTGTTGTTGTAGGCAACGGCGAAGCTGTTCGGACAGACCTTTGACATAAGGTAAAACCGCAGTAGCTTTAGACTCGTTGGCGGGTTCGGCACTGTTGTTTGGTTTTCCGGTCTTGGTAAGTTTCTGCAAGAAAGAAAAAGGATAACCATTAGAAACCAGAACAGATGACAGATGTTTTATTTCCTCGGAGATGACAGAGGGTTTTGTTATGAGACGTTTGGCGCGCTCGTAAAGGCATTTAACAATACCGCGTTTTACTGATTGGGGGTGGTGTGAATCATACGCTAAGTATTGATCGGTGTGCGTGGGCTTCCTGTATACGCTGGTGGTGAGGCGGTTCTCTTAAAACTGCGGTGTCTAGGAAGGCGAGTTTGTTGTCTTTCTCTGTCTCCATGGTGAAGCGGATGGAAGGCTGCTGGTCGTTTAGATGCTGTAGTGCTGGTTGTTTAGATTCTTAGATCTCGAGTTTCTACAGTGCGGTTTGTACAGCCGCGTCGATAGCAACGTTGGTAAACAGCGATTCAACGTCGAAAGATACCATGATCTCGTTGTCTAAGATCGTCTCATCGCTGACGGTGGATACGAAGTGGGCTGAATTGGTCACCGTGTACTCTGACTTTCCTGTTAAAGGAGACAGGATGTTGGCTAAGTAAGCGGATCGATAAATCATTTGCAAAGGTGTTTGCGCACGACACGATAGGTCTTAGCGGTACATCGGCAACGCTCATGTCGACGAATCAACCATAGGGCTGTGCGCCCATATATCCGGTTAATTTCGTAGAAAAGGTTGTGGTTATTCATCGTGGTGATGACCTTCACCGGAAATATGGGCGCACAGCCCCAAGGTTGATTCGTCGACATGAGCGTTGCTCGAGCAAGCTCGTACGCTACATCAACCATCTCACCTTTCTAACAAGGTGCATCAAGAACCGCGTTGTTCTCAAAGATCTACGAGTTCGACCGCCAGTTCCCACCAAAGGCGCACGCAGAGTCGCTGAACTCGCATCCATGAGATTCCTAAGGGAACGGATCAGACTGATACAGAAGGCCAAGGGAGATGCAAAGAAAGATACAGAATCCACAGCACAGAGTATAACATCCGCTCTCTCGACAAACGACGCCAACAGGATACTGGAGCAGATTAAGACCAACACCCAACGAGTCTTCAACACCACCAAAGACAGACATAAGCGGAGGTTTGAAAAACTCATTCGAGAAAAAAAACAGGCGACTGTGTCGCCGGTTGACACACCGTATGTTGACAAAGCTAACTGGGTTGTTAATTTATCTTCTAGGTCCCTTAGCGATGCCGAGAAAGCCCTACTGAAGAAAGGACTGAACTTCGCCGTAACTCCTGCGAATATTCCTGCCACAGAGATCATCGCTAAGGTAAAAGCAGTCTAAAGAAGTTCAACCGGAGGCGAGGATAAAGTCCAATAGCTCTACAACCACTCTTCAGTCGAGGGATATACGTCCCAGCAAGCGCCTAGCAATGTACACTTATCTAGAATCAGTGGATTTGGATACTATACTCAACTCCGCGGACAGTTGTGAAGACAAAACCTCGCTTTTGGAACAAATCATTAAGAATGGTCTTGGCCATGTTATGCCTATGTGCACGCACAAAGTACATTCAACCGAACCACCTTGGATAACATCATCCTTGAAGAACTTGCTACAAAAGCGGTAAAGTGCCTTATCGCGTGGTGACGACCAAATGTTTCGTGAGTTGAGAAATCGAGTTAATCGCGAGCGAAAGATGTGCCGTGCAAATTATTACCAAGCCAAGGTGGAACATCTGAAGAAATGTAAACCATCTGAGTGGTGAAAAGAAGTGAAAAAGCTTAGTGGGCGCCCGCTTGCCTCCACGGCGCAAAGTGACACCTTGAAAACGCTACAACATCTGCATGAGGGTATTGACCAAATCGGCTTAGCTAATATCATCAATGAGGCTTTCTTATCGCCAATGCACCACTTCACACCGCTCCCTGATGCTTTTCCGTGCACTACTTTCAGTAACTACTCCGAAAACTCCTTTGTTGTGTCGGTTGAGTCAGTCCGCAAGAAACTATCAAAGTTGAACCCGTGCAAAGCTAACGGTCCAAACAACACCCCAGGATGGTTGTTAAAGGAACACGCAGACATATTACCCGGTCCGGTATCTGACATCTTGAAGTACTCGTACCGTGAAGGATGCTTGCCATCGACATGGAAGCACGCATATGTAGTCCCCGTGCCAAAGCAAAACCCCTTCCGTGAAGTAAATAAGCACTTACGCCCTATTTCACTAACCCCCATTTTGTCAAAGATGTCTGAAGCTTGTGTGGTTGACACTAACGTCAAACCTGCAGTGCTGGAGAGGATTGATCCTCAACAATTTGGGGCCGTACTAAATCTTCTACTACGCATGCGCTTATCAGTATATTGCACTCCTGGTTGGAATCGACTGACGGAAATGGGGCTACTACGAGAGCCCTACTGTTTGACTTTCGCAAAGCCTTTGACTTAATTGATCATCATGTCCTAGCCCAAAAGCTCTCCTCTTATGACTTGCCGGAATCGATCATGTGCTGGATCTTGGATTTCCTAACGAATAGAAGGTAAAGGGCGAAACTGAGTTGTGGTTGTGTATCGGAATGGCGTGCTGTACCAGCAGGAGTTCCTCAGAGGACTAAACTCGGCCCCTGGTTATTTTTTAATGATGATTAATGACCTGAGTGTGGCGAAGACGAACATCTGGAAGTATGTAGATGATACAACCCTCGCTGAGTGTGTGGAAAAGAACGGAACCAGCTCGATGCAGTCGCGCGTTGATGAATTTGTAACAAAGTCTCGTGCTGATGGTTTCCAGTTAAATGAATCAAAGTGCAAGGAACTTAGAATATCATTCACAAAGTCAGAGAATACTTTAGAGCCTGTTACTATCAACAATACGAACATTGAGGTTGTTCCATCTGCTAAATTACTAGGTGTTATGATATCGAATGATTTGAAGTGGAATATGCACGTAGAAATGATATATAGGAAAGTACCAGCGCGTCTCTACTTTCTTAGGCAATTAAAGCGCGCGAAAGTGCCAACTAATGACCTTCTAAGTTTCTACACCACTTGCATACGCCCAGTTGCAGAGTACGCATGTCCAGTCTTTCATACCGCTCTACCGCAGTATCTCTCCGATCAGTTAGAACGCCTGCAGAAGCGAGCACTACGCATAATAAGCACTAATGATTTATCTTCTAAACAGGCTTTAGAAGTTTTTAACATACCTACCTTGTATGACAGGAGAGAGGCGAATGGTAACTCAACGTTTCAAGAGATAAGTAATGACAATAATCACAAGCTTTATTCACTATTTCCACCACCTTACCTTAGCACGTTGCGAATACGGAAAAATCGCAAGGTCCAAGTCCCGCGTTTTAAAACCATTTGTTTTAGAGACAGTGTTATTGTAAGCCATTGCTGATAGCACATCCTTGTACAACTCATATATATTAATTGATCTGATTTCGAATAATTTTAGTCGTATCTTATATTTAGTGTTTACATAATGATATGCTTCATTATCGTAAAATTCTTATGAATTAACTTTCTTAATTTATCATTGTATAATTTATAGTTATTATTAATTTATGTTTTACATTTGTAAAAATTATCGTAATTCCGCCATCGGGCTGCGGGGGTAATTTTAATAAAACTATCTATCTATCGATAAACTCAAACAAACACATGAAAAAAAGTGACGTATATATGCCTTACGACATTCAAAAATAAATAAGGATGTAATGATGAATCTGTCGCTCTTGTAGAGTGGCACATGATGTATGCTTCTAAATATTGACAACTGGACCTCGCGATTTTCATGTGACCGTCTGGTGTTTTTCTCATCGGTTTATAATTAGCTTTTGAGTCAAGTGAAGGGGTACGACGCTTAAGCGGTGAAACGATCTGAATCCATAGTATATCCATTTATGTAACGGCACATTTCATCCCATGAAAGTCACGAGTTCTAAGAGGTCAACGATATTCATGTTCTGCTCCTGTGAGTTTCATAATATTTTTTATTGAAAGAAGCAGACTGGTAATTTGTGCGAAAGAGAAACCATAAGCAACGTAACAGTCATAGTCATAATTAATGTTACGAAACACGACGATATAAAAGAAGGAAAATGATTTGGCAGGAAATGTTTTGCTTATTCCTTGCATTTTCACTTCCGGCCTCGAAACTAATAGTAGACAATTACGTCATGGTTTGTTTTTTTCGCATGCAAATTAATACTTCCACCAAGTAAGACAAGTTGGTATCTTCGGAAGGCTATATAGGTAAGTTGCTCGCTTATTAACGACAGAATAAGTTAGGGCTTGCTTCTGTGATCGTTTGGAAAGTGAAACATGGGAATCGTTAGCCTAATCCAGGGCACTTGTATAATTCTTTCGCTTTTGATTGATTGTGGAAGAAGCGAACTGTATCCATCCATTCAATGGACAAGACATAATCCAAAGTAAGTTCCCCTTAGAAAAGTTTGCGTTTTGTGGCTATTCAACACCTCAGATAACACATAACAGCCAAATAGTTGATAAGCAGCCACCGAGGAATATCGGTGATTCGTTTGTCACTGTCAAAATGTTACCAAAGTTCTCATTGTATTTTAGAGATAAGGGCAATTTTGCACCACGTGTTTTAATCAACAAAGACGTTTACAGCTTAATAATTTCGATGACTAATTTATGGTTGTGTGCATATCTTTGAATAACGCTGAACCTCATGCAATGAGGAACAAGATCGATGTTTTCGCTTTGTTTAGCTGAATCTTTGCTGTGATTTGAACGATAAGAGCAGTAACTGATGTTCTCTTTCTGTTCTCTGTCTAATACACTCTGTTTGTGAGAACAAAGAAAGATTATCATTTGCAAATACGACACAAGTTTATTAGGGTGGATTAGCGATAAACTTATGCGAATGAAATTTTAAGTTCCTGCCGCTTTGATATTGCCCACGAATGCCATCTTTTATGTTCATGCTTTCGGAAGCTCTTGGAAAACAACTTATAAACATCTAGTTTGAAGTACAGCGATGAAATTTTGGAGAAATTGTCGAAATTTACACAAATTTACACAAGACAACTAATATTTACTTCTACTGCAATTTTACTTTCTCAGCCGGAAAACCAGCTCCTTCTCACACCCTTTCCTGTTTCTTTGTCTACATTTCTGCTGAAAGAAGACCGGTACGTTGCTTTGCTTAAGGACAACCTGCCAAAATTTAGTCAATAATTTAAAAGCATGTAGAAAGGAAACACTCCAATGAATTTTACGAGAACAAATGGACTTTCAAGGGCAGAATGATTCCCTTCTGTCACCAGTCCTCAAAAACTTACTTCCATCTCGATAAAAAAGGAAATACAAGAATTTAACTAATTTCGGTTCACTAAATTTACCATCTAGTGCATCCAGCTAACGAGGTTTTGGTTGTACACAATCAAAATCGTTACACACCCTGCATTTTGGCGAAAATCCCCTATGTACCCAAGGATAGTGAACTGCGATCATATCAGTTATCATTAAATTTTCGACTTTGTACAGCGACGGAAAAATAAATTTGCAGCACTACATATCTTTTATTTTTAGCAAGTTATGGTTTCCAGCATCATACTTGTTTTATCCAATTCGTGAAGGTCTTGAAGATCGACTTAAAGTACGTATCTGTTTAGCAAACTGTTCATTTTTTAGTCGATGACGTAATCAGTTACCACTTGAATTTCGCTTTTACACAGCTCTCTACTTGGCATGCCTAAGGAGGAACGTTACATTAAGATACAAAGAAAAAAGCTTTCGCTTGCTATTAAGATATATCTGTTGCAAATCTGTTTCATGTAAATTTCGAACCATGATTATTCAAATTTTATTTTATTTTGGTAATTAGCATTAGACCTGTTGTTATTACTTCTCTACCATTACAAGGGCTTGCACTAGATCTAAAAAATTGCTGGTATTAGTTTTTAATTTCTCTAATATGGTATTGAAGTTGGCCTTGGCTTCGCTTCGTCGGAGCAGAAAGTAAAAACATCACGTGAGTGCCAAAACAGTTGCTGGATATTTGTTGATGTTGATAGCTGCCATGTTGATGGGAGATCTTTTTAATCGGTTGCCGAGTAACAAGCTTAGGCAAAATGACAATTGCTGAAAGAACACCGATTATGAGAAACATTTAGCCATTGGTTTTCCTTAATGCAGGTTTCCCTTGATCTTGCCTGTTGTTATAGGTCTAAACAGGATATTTGTCTGACACAGATTTTGCTTACTCGTGATTGCCTTTGCATCACGCCAATTTATAGCGATGATACCTGCTGCATGCATAGAATGACGTGCATTTTGTTTCTGCTGGTCACACTGATTCCCAGCTTACCGAACAAGCCTCGTACTTTTGTCTGCTCCGCTGAAAAACGTTAACTAAACGCTCATTAATTATGCTTGTATTACATGCATGCATCCATATATGATAATAATAGAGCCCTTACTTCAGCTAAAAAGCTTTTGATATGATATAAGATGTTGACTATGATTATACAGTTTTTAGCTTATCAGTCTAGAGCTCTTAGAAACATTACGGTATTTTGATACAAGAGAAAACACGAGTTAATAATGAACGACTATACATCTAAGTGGAGGTGACAAGACAACTCCTCACAGTTTTCCTTGAGCTTCGCTCCCGGAAAACTGTTTGCATCGTGGAGCAAATAATGTCCACGGGCAAATATCTGTGCCTTTTTTTCGCGCCAAGTAGAGACTTTTGTTATCTCGCCACTGACACTGAGTTTATAATAAAACACTTAGATAATATGGCATGAAAAGAAGATTTTAATTAATTCATTCCTGCAATGATTACAATATCGCGCAAATTCTGCTTGAGTCGCTCGCGGGTGAATAGCAAAGGATATCCAGCTGTTTAGAGCCTAGAAAAGAACGGATAACGCTTTGCAGCTGATAAATCGCTCTCTGGGGAATGGGCGTAACCAAAAGATACTGCTCTTTCTACCGGATAGAGATCTATTCAGTGAATAACGAAAAACTGGAGCCTGGACGCGAATTCTCGACCTTATTAACAAATCAGACTCATTCGATCATTTCCATTTTCTTTTTGTAGATTCGTATCGAATAGGACACAATGCGTTCACCCAATGTCTAAAGTGATCTTCGTGTGCCCAAACACAGCTACAATAGTAAAAAGACTCGTTCACAGTAGTTATGTAGATCCTCAGTACGAAAATCTGTGGCTGGTCAGCAAACAAAGCTACGAGCGGTGTGTAATAGATACGACAACTGATACAAGACTATGGCTGTGCGACGAACCGCTTAAACTGAAATATTACACCGTGACTTTTAAAAGATTCAGCGCCAGCAAGGAGCCCGAATTTCAGCCAGGAAAATATTACTATTTTATAGGTAGGTCCCACCATTTCAAATTACACGATAAGCTGAATAACGCACGCTTTTTGATTGGTTCTCGTTTATGAGCCTTTGGAGGAGAATGCGTCGATGACGTCACCATAACAAGTTTATGCTTGTTGTTGTTTTAAATTATAGATTTCATTTTGCCATGAGTCTGTTTCGCAGTAACAGAGCACAGAAAAACGTGGAAAAATAATGATCACTTATCTTCCAAATTTTTTGTTTTGACCACATATTTGACATCATCTGTGATCTATTACTGAATAGACGCACGTAGCCTACGTGTAGCCGTAGCCTTCCCCCCAAGGTGAAACACGTAGGCTAAGACGCACGGTAATGACTTCCGATCAAAATGTGAATCACTGACATCATCAACAGTCCTTTTCCAGAACCCCGCTGACGCAGATGATCACACACGCAACAACCCCCCACCGCCCTCTTCTCTCCACCTCCATACCTCGAACTATTTACACATACAGGTACGGTTGCGGAAAAAAAAAGGAATTATTAAGACAGTCACTTTTCCCTGCCTTCTTTCAAAGTTATAAATTTTCCCTGACTCAAAGTTAAATTCCCTGTTTTTCCAAGACAATTGTGCCTAACATTATCAACTATGCCTAACATTACTGGAAACTATGGAATCTATGACGTACGAAGCTGAAAAGGTCTATTGAGCGGGAAGGTTCAGGTTACTTGGTGAGGTGTATGAAGTTCTGTGAAAAAATTTTTAACAGTTTTAAGTTTTTTTATCGACTAGCAACTTCAGATGGAAAAAAAGAGTCCCTCAACAGTTCGTCTGGTGGAAACTGTCGAACAAACAGAATGAAGCTGAAATTCTATGTTTGCACAAGCAAAGCAGGCAAGTCGCCGTTAAAACTTTCAAGAAGAAGCCCTCTCGTTTGGAAGAAGGAAAAAAAGAGGGCTGATTTACTATGCCACAACTGCTTCCGGGGTCACAAAATTAATTGATCACACCATAGGAAAGGAACGATGATTGAAGTGTTTACAACCAATGAAGCAAAGATGACGTTGCATTATTTTAGATTAAATTCATTGCATGTTTATGGCAGTCAAATCATTGATTTTACCAAATCATTACGTGTTTTCACGGACACCTGCAAAGATAAATAAGTTTGGTCCGGTGCAATCTTACGGCCTTTTATTTCTAATTTATTTTGCTTTTCGATGTTTCTGTCTGTAGATCCACGTTGCAAAAGTGAAGACGAGTGTAATAGGGTCTCTCCAACACAATCTGAATTTACATCCTCTAAGCTTACCAGCCCGACAAAAACTGTTGAATCTCATTCAGATCTCAACTCGTCTCAGCCTACCAGCCCGACAAAAGCTATTGAATCTTGTTCAACTCTCAACTCGGACATATCATGTGTAAACAACACTCATCCCAAGATAAGAATCATCAGTCCTGGTAAGTGAAAGGGCTGACTCGTTCATAATCAGTTCAATGTTACTGGTATTCACTACTGTCAACTGGAATGCTCATGTAACTCAAGCAGTTAAACAAGTAGTAAATAGTAATACATAAATAAGTTGCAACTTGGAAGACGTTTTATAAGCACCGTCCCTAAGGAATACTGTAACTCAGTTGTACCTCCATGCTCCTCCATTGTCTCCATAGAGAATTTACACCTGTTTGTCCATGAGTACGACACCCAATCCCTTTCGTCAAGACGATTGAGTAAATTAATAACCCTTTTGAAAGAATTGAAGAAATAACACGAAGACATAAATTTGAACTGTGATATCATTCATCACTAACGAGTTTATTACGAAACAACAGAATGACAAGCTACCAGTTACCTAATTAGCTCAGTTGATAGAGCGCTGCACTGGTATGGCAGAGGTCACTGGGTTCAACTCCCGTAAAAGCCTGAATATTTTTCAGGATTTATTTTCGCTATTGCTTATGTAGTGTTCATAACTGCGAAGGTTACTCTCATATTCATTTAATAGCCCTTTGCACCACTCCAGGAACGTCCCTGTCGTTCAGCTTGATAAAATTTGAATTTTTCAGTCCCTTTCATTTCATCACCCGTCCCCTCCCTTTGGGTGACCAAATCTGTGCGCGCCTCTTTGTTTATTGTGTATAAGCAGGCTATCTGCAGGTATCCCAGGACCCTCCCCTCTGTAAGCAAATTCCTTGGAAAGGAACGGTTCAGGGTTTACCCTCTTTGGGATTCTCTCTATCCAATGCGGTACCTATGTTCCTATTAAATCATTTTATCGCAACTGTAGTCAACCTTGTTTTCTAAGTCGCTGTGCTGATTCGAAAAAGCCTTGATCACCAGGCTCGCATTTTTTTTCCAAAAGAAAAAACTCTTTGAGGCTTTTTCAACCAATGTCGTGCGATAAAGTATTGAAAAATTGTTCTACAGGCGAAAATAGGTTTTTTTTTCCAGTCAATAGAGAGATTACAAAAGTGTTTTCTTTTTGCAGATGATCCTGAAAAAGAAAAGGACGTATTGCTGAGTACATCAGGTCTTGAGATTTTTATCGGTATTCTCGGGACTTTTTGCTTTCTTCTGTCCGTTCTTTCCATTATCCTGATCTACAAGCTTCGCCGAAAAAAAAAACCTCCAGCTTCTTCGTCACGTAGCTGTGCTGTTTAGCTGAACGAAAGCAATAGTGGCAGCGCAAATGGAGACTCGGAATACTGTGTACAGCTCTGTTTGAGTTAGAAAGCAGCAGGCTACTTCCACTCGATTTGAACTTTGGTTGGGTATATCTGCGCCAAGAATGACCATGATCGGGAAACAATTCTCGGACGATCCTACTGCGTCTTTTCAAAGTGTCTCAAAATGGTTTTGCTAACATGGGTTGACTATTTTCTGACATACCGGGTTCCCATGGCAACAGTAAACTTCAAGGAAGACTTTGCTTGGCTGTTATTCAAAAAGCAGTTTGATGTCCCCCATTTTTTATCATTTACTCGCAATCGGCATATCAATATTCATCTTTCTTTAGGTAATGGTAATAGGACTGAATAGAGTCCAATTGGATCTTAAATCGCACGAATTTGATTATCACTATTATGATTACAAACCGAACGGGACAACACGAAGTCTTTTTATCAACTTATCAAAAACATTACAATTCCCGGGGCAAGAAGAATAGCCAAGTTTTAATTAAAGTTTTATTTAGTTGATTTTAATTAAATTAATTGAGTTTTAGTTAAAACAAATACACATAATCGTCAAGAGGCCGTCCCACAAACACGCGCAGCAGAAAAGAAAAGATAGACAATCCTCGATAGGACCCCTGAGTTTATTGATCCTTTACAAGAATTTATTATTTCTAGTCCTTTGCCAATACATGCTAAAATTTGCAGTTGGTAATTGTGTAATTTTCTAATTATTTTTCAATGCCAGTTTAAGCAACGCTGTGAAAGAAGCTGAAAGGATGAGCAAAAAGATTTGATAAATTCTTTTCTCCAAGTCATTAATTGCGCCTAATTGGATCCACGCAGAAAATCAAGCCGGAAAACGCGTTTTTAGTAATTTTTAGCATTTTTATACATACACATCGTACGTACGGAGGTTAATTAGTTTATTTATAACCACACTTTTGAAAATTAAAAAATAATTTAAATGCCCATTCATGAACTTGTTGTGTTTTGATCATTACCTGATTTCTTGTGTAATTTAGTGACTAAGAAGAATTGATACTTAACGTTAAAGTTAACAGACCCTCTGAAAAAACTGCAGCTGGCGGCGTGTAACAACCTACAGATCGACAAAAAGAAGTACAAGCAAACCAAGGTGCCTCGTTCGCATTCTACCTTCTTAGTTACTCCGGATTAAGCAAGTGAAATGTTTGAAAAATATGACGAGGAACGTGTTGTTTACGAGCGTAAAAACGATTATAACAATCAGTTCGTGGTGACTTGAAAATTGATTGTAGCGAAAGCAAAAAACCCCCAAAAAGAGAATTTAAGAATTAGAACCCGAAAATAAGAACCCCTTCATTTTTTTTCTTTTCAGTATGATATTGTTATGGTTCCTCGACGGAAACATTCAGAATGAAACATTGGTTTTTCATGGGCATTTGTTCCCCCCGAACTAAGCGCCAATGACAACCTTGTGAGAACTGTTGGATTTTTTTTCCTTATTGCTTCCTTAACAGCCCTCATCAAACTTTGAGTGTGGTACTGTAATGGGAAATTTCCCAGCTGAGCCAATGGGAAACGAAAACTCAAGGAAAAATCATCGTAGCTAGCATTGCAGATCAGTGTAAAGCTCGATCGCTTGTATCATCGATTATGGCCTGTTTTAGATCTCCTAATCCTGTTCAATAAGATCAACCATGCTTGTTCAAAATTCCGCACTTGCATACAGAATGAGCCTATATAAAGACTCCACCTAACATTTTATTTGCTTTAATTTAAAGTCATGTCGGAGCAACGGCCTGCAATAGAAACTCTGCAGGGTTTTCATTTTAATTGCCGAGCCCTGTTCATTTATGTGGAAATTAATAACCTCAAACACAATTAATACCAGCATCAATTTTCCCATACAATCTTTAGAGGAGTTTAAGATCCATGTTGGCGACCATACACAGACTCCGCGTTGCGAACAGATCATGGTGAACACATCGCAAATTGATTCAGGAGTAACTCGCATGGTCCAATAATTCGAACGAGGCAAATAAAGATGTTTTGCTTGCCGCAATCTTTACAACTGCCGAATTTGGGACGAATCTGGAGAGCTAGAGAGCACGCTCTTTCAAAGTTGACGTGGTAGTTTGAAAATATGAGGGTCTTAAAGTTTTCAGGTATTTGTTTTCATAACATTTGTCTCAGCCTAAAAAAAAATAAAAGTTCTATCTGACGAGTGCTTAGGCGCGAAACTCAGAGTCACAGAGAATCGATGCGTCCTCTTTAATTCTTTAACTTATGTATACTTAGCTCTGCTACCACAGCATTGAGCACTTTATGCCAAGGTAGACTCTACCACCACATTCATTTATATATATATATATTTATTTATTTATATATAATGAACCTGTTATAAGGGCTAACTACCAAATCTTTCGAAAATTATGCTCATTAGTGCTTAAAAATCGAATACGACCACTGCCGTCTGGAATATTGATTGGCAGCTTAGCCACCTTCTTTTGGCGTAATAAAGGCTTATTATTCCTTTTTCAAAACTAGGCTAAAATGGGGTCTTTGATTCTTTACTGATTATTCGATAAACGGAGCAGCTGCTGACTGTGAACCTCCCTTTGTGTTCGAGCGTAAACGGCCAGGTTTATCAGACTTTGTTCAAAACGACGACGTTCATATACAGCTGCCTATAAAATTTTCGAAGGCCATTTTAGAAGAGTTGTCTATAGTTGAGTGACTCCCTTAAATCTCAAACCGTGATGAGGAGTGCATTTTTTTTTACATGGAAGTAATAAAATTAAGTGGTTTCTCGAGTAATTCTCCTCGTGAAAGTGGCGGATGGTTGAATCACTTGGGCAATTTTGTCTCCATAATGAGTTACATGAAACGGGACCAAAAATTTCTCTAAATGCCGCTTTTCACAGGTGGACACTATTATTTATCACATGAGGTTCAAGGCGTATGTCTGTCAAGATAGGCAAGGTTGGTCAACAATAGATACCTATGGTTAAATCTCCGACCTGCGGGTCTTTAAATCATATAATTATTGTGATCCAATTCCTCTTCGCTCGTCCTCAACGATGTCTATGTCATCGTCGTCGGAAAATTCGTCTTTCACTTCGTGACATCTATCACCTCTCCTTCCTCTCCTATGTCCCTGCCTTTTCAAAACCCACCTCAACCCACCCATTCCTTATTTCCTTTCCCAAGTTTTCCCCTCCTTCTCTTGCTCTATCTCTGTAGTTCAACAGCCTTACGTCCGCCACATTCTACTGAGTTGCGAGTCAAGAGATAATCTTAACATGCGGCAAACACAGCAGACAAATGCATCATCATTTTGATAGATCATTTTAAGGGATTTTATTGATTATAGTTCTCACCATAGACCTTTACAATGGCCCTATACAAATTAAAGAAAATGATAAATAAATATTTGTCGTTTGGACGGCTATTCCTTTTAGATACAAGATGCACGGAAAGTCAGCCGTGACAGCCGTCGAAGCAGAAAACAGGAACGGTATTCCAAGTGTTCTCTGCAGACTCACTCAACGAACACACGAACAAGTGAAGTATCGTTAAAACTCTGTAATAACATAGCATCCTGTTAATAGAATTACTGAATAACTTTCATCCGAAAAAGCTATCCCGCGGAAGCATATCCTCTTTCTAACCTATATCAATGTGTCCCAAATATGCAGGGCAGGGAGTGTATTCTGGGGTACATGTTACTCCCCCCCCCCCTACTTTGAAGCTGATCTTGCTTACGCCCTTGGTGTTCAGTTTTTCTAAACATAACGGGACGTCAGGCTCACAAGGTAGAAAATTGAATGTCAATAAACTGCCAATGAGGAAGGATGAAATGAAAATCACAGAGCCTTTAGCTTTGGAGGATCAGGTAATTTGTATCGTGACATAACAAAAAGACACAAGTCAAAATTAGGCCAAAATTTATGGTTAATGTCATTCTTTGTGCACAGCCACTTGATTCCATGACATCATTTGCAAGAAAGTTGAGATACGATTCGGTGCAAGATATATACCCTAAACGCTGTGATCGGTGCAAGATATCCAAATGCTGTGATATGATTGGTGCGAGATACATACCCTAATGCTGCAATCTGATCGGTGCAAGAAACATAGATGTTATTTGCCGGCTGGGAGGTCCGTATGGTGAAAAACTGTGACCGAGTTCTTGAAAATGCTGCCCGAGGCCGTTAAAATTCAAATTTTTTATTTTGAAGTTGTGAGAGTTTGCTCGTTTGCAGTTTGCTGCAATGACGTGTGTAAATCTGGTCTTTCCCCTACAAAAACCAAATTCGAATGATACACTCCAACGAGACACAAAGGGATTAATGCGGCCTTTTCTCATTGAATTCCTTCAGTTTCTGTTGTGCAATTTACGGTACAAATGTTCAAATTGAAAGGACTTACAAAGACTCACCGAGAGCGTTTATTTGTTGTGGAACTGAAATTAAAACTTCGCTCGCTATTTCACTACAACCAAATTGTTTGAGATAATTCAGATATTAAGTGAATGAAAGTTCCATCGATTATTTCAGTTGTAACCAAATACCTCACGTTTTAACTTTCTAGGTACTTTTTGTGAACGATCAAAATTAATTGCAGACGGTTTTTAGGCCGCTTGTCAACCAACGTAATGACACTATTGCTTATATAAATTCATTCCGAAACCAATATTTTTCTGTCAACCAAAGTGACTTGAGAGAGAGAAGAGAGAATTCATAGGTTATTTGTCGGCTTGGGGTAGTAACCGACGTCTTTGCTTCAAAATACTGCCCAGCTGGAAAAACGAGATATATTTATCAAAAATGGCAACGAAAGTTGGGATGTACGCGGTGACTCACGAAAGCGTTACCGTGGCCCGTGGGCAGAGATAGGAAAATACTGACCAGGTAAATAACCAATCAGATTGCAGGATTCGTTACCGTGTCCTCAGAAAAAAAAAAAATTATGGAAATTATGAACTCAAACAAACACATGAAACAGAACGACGTATAAATACCTTTGCGACATTCAAAAATAAAGAAGGACGTAATGATGCCGTACGTATTTCGTTCTTACAGAGGGGTACATGATGTAGGCTTCTAAATATTGATAACTGAAACTCGCGATTTTCATGTGACCGTCTGGTATTTTGTCAATTGTTTATAAACAGCTTCACGGCAATTTGAGTTAAGTGAAGGGATACGACGCTTAAGCAGTGAAACGAGCTGAATCAAGAGTATATTTATTTATGTAACAGCGCATTATAGGGAAAAGTCCCATAAAAATCACGAGTCTTAGAGGTCTGTCATCATGTTCCGCCCCCCGAGAGTTTCATATTTTTTTTTTTCTTGAAAGAACCAGACAGGTAATTTGTGCGAAGGAGAAACCATAGCCAACGTTTGAAAGGTAATTAATGTTACGAAACACGACGATGTAAAAGAAAGCAAATGATTAAGCGGGGAATTTTTTGTTTATTCCTTTCACTTTCACTTCTTTTCTCATGATTAATAACCCACGGAAATTACGTATGTTTATTTTGTTTCGAATGCAAATTAAGACTTCCGCTAAGAAGCATTTTAAGTATCTTCGCCGAGGCAATGTAAGCAAGTTACTTTCTCATTAAAGATTAGACAAGTTAGGGCCTGTTTCTGTGAGTGTCTGGAAAGTGAAACATGGGAATCGTGAGTCTAATCCAGGGCGCTTGCATAATTCTTTCGCTTTTGATTGACTCTGGAGGAAGTGAACTGTATCCATCCATTCAATGGACAAGACATAATCCAAAGTAAGTGCTGCTGCTGCAAACGTTTACATTTCGAGGCTTGTTAACACCTCAGATAACAACTTTAAAAACGTAAAGGAAGGGTTATAAATTTTTAACATCCACGGAATCAATTGTACAAGCAGCCACCGAGGAATTTCAGATGATTCGACTGTCACTGTCAAAATAACAAAGTTCTCATTGTATTTTCGAGGTGAGGGCAAATTTGAACCAAGTGTTTCAAGCGACAAAGACGTTATATGTTTATGCACTTTGTTGGAAACAAATCTTATGTGAATCAAAAGGAAAGAAGAAAATTTATAGTTTAATAATTTCGATGGATAGTTCTTTGCTGCGTACAAATCTTTGAATAATCTTGAACCTCATGCAGTGAGGAACGTGTCCGACGCTTTCGCTTTCTTTAGCTGAAACTTTGCTGTGATTTGAACGATAAGAGCAGTTACCTATTTTCTCTTTTTGTTCTCTGTCAAATACACTCTGTTGTGAGAACAGGGGAAGATTATCATTTGCAAATATGACACAATATAGCAATATACTTATACAAATGAAAATTTAAGTTCCTGCCGCTTTCATATTGCCCTCGTATGCCATCTGTTATATTCATGTTTTCGGAAGCTCTTGGAAAACAAGCACCCGGTTTGAAGTCCAGCGATGGAATTTTTAGAGATATTTTCGACATTAACGCAATGTCACGAGACATGTAATATCTGTGTCTAATCCAATTTTATTTGGTTAGAAAACCAAGTACTTTTGACACCCTTTCCTGTTTCTTTGTCCACATTTCCGCTGGAGGTTTTCGCCGGTTGTCCGCTTGGCGAAGCTTAAAGAAGACCCATGAGTTGTCTTGTTCAAGGCCAACCTGTCATAATTTAGTAATTTAAAACTCTCCAGCGAATTTTACGAGAACAAATGGACTCTCCGGCAGGGACAGAATGATTCCCTTATGCTACCATAATCTCCTCAGAAACTTACTTCCATTTTGATAAAAAAGGAAATAAAAGAATTGAGCTGATTTCGGTACATTAAATTTGCCATATAGTGCATCCTGCCCACAGGGTTTCGGTTGTACATGTATATCACGATTGTTACGCACCCTGCATCTTAGCGAAAATCACCCATGTACCCAAGGACGGTGAACTTCGATCATATCAAGCAAGTTATCGTTTTGAGCATCATACTTATTTTATTCATTGCGTGAAAGCCATGAAGATCGACTTAAAGTACGTATCTGTTTTGCAAAATGTTTATTTTCAATCGATGATGGAATCAGCTTCGACTTGAATTTCACTTTTACATAGGTCTCTACTTGGCAAGCCTAAGAAAGAACGTTAAGTTAAGATACAGTGAAAAAGCTTTCGCTTGCTTCAACATAAACCTGTTGCGAATCTGTTTTATGTGAATTTCTATACCTTTTTGTTATTTCAAACCATAATTATTCAAATTTCTGTCCTTTTTATAATTAGCTTCAGGCCATTTATTCCTTTTGTACCATTACAAGAGCTTGTCTTAGATCTAAAAAAAATGCTAGTGCCATATTTCTCCAATATGGAGTCGAATTTGGCCTCGGCTTCGCTTCGTTAGAGCAGAAAGTAGCCGGAGAGCATGAATTCGGTCGTGCTTCTTTGGCGAAAACATCACGTGAGGCGCAGTTGCGAAAACAGTTGCTAGATATCTGTTGATGTTGATATCTGCCATGTTGATGGGAATTCTTTTTAATTGGTTGCCGAGTAACAAGCTCAGACCGAAAAGACAATTACTAAAAGAACACTGATAATGATAAACATTTAGCCATTGGTTTTCCTTGATGCATGTTTCCCTTTATCTTGTCTGTTGTTATGGGTCTAAACAGTTTGAAACAGATTTAGCTTACTCGTGATTACATTTGCATCACGCCTATTTATGGCCGTGATACCTGCTGCAAGTATAGAATGACGTGCACTTTGTTTCTGCTGGTCACATTGATTCCAGGTTACCGAACAAACCTCGTACTTTTGTCTGCTTCACTGAAAAACGTTAACTAAACGTTCATTAATTACGCTTGTTTTTCAAGCCATTTTATTCCAAATTTAACACTGTACGAAATAAAAACATTGTACGAAAGCAGCGTGCACATTATATCGACAAAACGACTACAAAAATCGTTCTGACGTAAATATCCAGTAATATCCAGTCTCTTTTAGTGTCCGCCATCTATAACCTGCTGCCATCTATGAAGTTTACGAACAGAAAGCTAGGTTTTTGCGACACTGAAAAGACATGATTCAGTGATAACTTAGATTCAAATTCGAAATCAATTCTAGGAGTTTTGCGGCGTGACTTATCATAACTGTTTTCGTTTTGGGAAAAATCAAAATCAAAGGTAATTCTCAACCTAGTGTCTAGTGTCTTTATTGAATCATCATAAACTAACTGCGATCAAATGCAAGTGTCATGAAACCATTAAAATCAATTTATATACACTCCGCCATTTCACAGCTGTCTTCATTTTATTGCAACTTTTTCTTCATGATTCTATTCAGTGCCCACCGACTTCGTATTTTGTGATACGTTTGTCTGTTACTCAAATAGAGATTTTATGAAATCATATATTAATCCTGAATCCCAAAAAGTCTCACAAGTGGTACATGAGAAATCGTGCTGAAGTGACCGTGAGAAAATTATGCATCTATATTTGATAATCATGGAGCCCTTACTTCAGCCAAAAAGCTTTTGATATGACATAAGATTTTGACTATGACTATACAGCTTTTTGCTTATCAGTCTAAAGCTCTTACAAACACTACGGTATTTTGACACAAGATAAAATAATGAACGACTATTCATCTAAGAGGTGACAAGACACCTCACAGTTTTCCTTGAGCTTCGCTCTCGGAAGACTTCGCATCTTGGAACAGATTATGTCCACGAATAAACATCTGTGCCTCTTTTTCGCGTCATGTAGAGGCTTTTGTTCATCTAGCCACCGACACTGAGTTTATGATGAGACACTCATGATTTTAACTCATTTATTCCTGCAAAGATTACAATATTGCGCAAATTCCGCTCGAGTTGCTCGCAGGTGAATAGCAAAGGATATCCAGCTGTTCAGAACCCAGAAAAGAATCGATAACGCTTTGCAGCCGATAAATCGCTCTCTGGGGAATAAGCGTTACCAAAACATGCACTTTCCACCGGACAGAGATCCATCCAGTGAGTAACAAAAAACTGGTGCCTGGACACGAGCCGTCGACCTTATTAGCAGATCAGTCTAGATCTCATTTAGATCATTTCCATTGTTTGTTGTAGATTTACATCGAATAGGACACAATGCGTTCACCCAATGTCTAAAGTGATCTTCGTGTGCCCAAACACAGCTACAATAGTAAAAAGACTCGCTCACAGTAGTTATGTAGATCCTCAGTACGAAAATCTGTGGCTGGTCAGCAAACAAAGTTACGAGCGGTGTGTAATAAATACGACGACTGATACGAGACTATGGTTGTGCGACGAGCCGCTTAAACTGAAATATTACACCGTAACTTTTAAAAGGTTCAGCGCCAGCAAGGAGCCCGAATTTCAGCCAGGAAAAGATTACTATTTTGTAGGTAGGTCCCACCATTTAAATTATACGATGAGCTGAATTACGCTTTTTGATTGGTTCCTGTTTATGACCTATTAGAGGGGAATACATCGATGACGTCACTATGACAAGTTTATTCTTTTTTGTTGTATTAAACTATAGATTTCATTTTGCCATGAGTCTGTTTCGCAGTAACAGAGCACAGAAAAATGTGGAAAAATAATGATCACTTATCTTCCAAATTTTTTTTCCTGACCACAAATTTGACGTTGTCTGTGATCTGCTACTGAATAGACGCACGTAGCCTACGTGTAGCCTCCCCCCCCCCAAGGTGAAACACGTATGCTTAGACGCACGGCAACACGGAATCTATTTTGTTAAATTGACAATAACTGGCTTCAAACCGGAATTCAGAGACTTAACGAAAGCCACCATTATCAGAGTTAAGTCAAGTCAAGTCAAATCACCATGACTTCCGCTCAAAATGTCAATCACTGACATCATAAACAGTCCCTTTCCAGAACCCCGCTGACGTGGATGATCACACACGCACAAGTACCCCCCCTCCCTCCCTCCTCCTCCTCCATACTTCGAGCTATTCACACATACAGGTACGGTTGCGAAAAAAAAAAAAAGGAATTATTTAGACAGTCACTTTTCCCTGCCTTCTTTCAAAGTTATAAATTTTTCCTGACTCGAAGTTAAATTCCCTGACCTTTCCAAGACAACTATGCCTAACATGCTGGAAACGAAACACTAGTTCTAAATAGTTTCCTATTGACCATAAAAACAATGACAGACAAGCGCCATCCGCTTTCAGTCTCTTAGTTCGGCTGTCTGCAAACCTAAAATCCTCGTCTTCGAAATGTTCTGTACACTTTGGTACGCGATGTTACTTATTTTATTCTAAAATTTCACAGTCTATGTTTTCAAAGAAACTGAAAAACAACCATGACATCTAAAAATCGAGACGAGACGAGACAAAATGATTTGTCAGACAATTTACTGTGATAATAATAATAGTAATCTTTAATGAGGATGCCAACGTCAGGAAGTGGTTTACAGAAGGGTCCTCAGAAGAATACTAAGTTTAGATTAAGAACTAGTTAAACATACAAAAATGTAAAAGATTAAAAGAGTATATACAATCATCAAGCATCAAATATAACTAGTTAAAAATACAAGAATGTAAAAGATAAAAAGAATATACAAAGGGTAAAAAGCAAAGAATGTCGTTAAGAATCAAAGATAACTTTGGACAGGCCACGTTTAAAAGCAGGCAGTGACTCTGCATTCCTTAATGAGGTGTGTGACCCGTTCCATATATCAGCGCTAAAATTTACTGACGACCAATGACCCCGTCTTCCTGTGGCACTTTGCGAATGTCATCTCTCGATCTTGTGTAGTTAGAGTGACAGAAATGGTTGTTAATCAATTTATACATAAAAATAGCATGATGTTCCTTCTACGTCGCAATAATGACTTCCAGCCAAGTATCTTTAGCACCCCAGCTGCAGGAAAATGTGCAGGAAGGTCTAAAATGAGGCAAGCGGCCTTATTCTGTAACACTTGAAGCTCAGACATTAAGGAGGCATATCCGCGATCTCACCAAATGATATCCTCATAGTCAAAAAGAGGTAAAATGAAACCACTAAAAAACATGATTCTAGCATTGAAGGGGAGGTAAGGTTTAATACGCCTTCAGAGACCTAACTTTTCACTGATCTTACCACGAATATAATCAATGTGGTCAGTCCAGGAAAACCGGTTATTAATCACAATACCCAAGTACGTACACGAATCTACATTATCGAGAGGGATATCGTCAGCAGAAATAAGGATGGACCCAACTTTGCTTAAGCAGGAACTACTACCGATAAGTAAAAATTTGGATTTCTTAACATTCAGAGTAAGTTGGTTAGCCCTAAGCCTTCCACATATATGTTTTAAGTATTAATCTTGCTTTGTAAGTCCACAGTAAATTTGGAGGTGAGATATAGAACAGTGTCATCTGCACATAGAGTGACCTGACAGAACTGCAAAACGTCAGGTAGATCATTAATGTAAATTATGAATAGAAGCGGGCCCAATATAGAGCCTTGAGCGACGTCAATCGAAACAGGGGCAACTTTGGAGCATACATCATTACAGCTGGTCACTTGTTTTCTGTTCGTAAAGAATGAAGTAAACCAGGCTTTTGGCAGCATGATCAACACCATAATTTGAGAGCTTCTGAAGTAGTATTGTGTGATTGACAGTGTCAAACGCTTTGGCGAGGTCTAAGAATACAGGACCGGTCAGGCAACCATTGTCCGTGGAGTAAAGGATCTGATCAGAAAGCTGAGAGGCGGCAGTAACAATAGATAATTTTAACCTAAATCCAAACTGGTTGGGTGAAATTAAATTATTCTCAGTTATATATGCATAAAACCTGAGTATGAACCACCTTCTCCAAGATCTTGCTTATAGTCGGCAGAATGGAAATTGGCCTGTAATTAGAAGCGTTCTGCTTATCATTCTTTTTAAACAAGGGTATAACCTTTGCTATTTTCCATATAGAAGGAAAAGATCTTGTTTGAAGGGATAGATTAATAAGGCCGTTAAAGAAGGAGTAATAACGTCCACAGCATCTTTTAGCGGACGTGCGCTAATTTTGTCGAGACCAACGGCCTTATTAGTTTTCAATAAACTGATGGATCTTGAAACAAAATCTTCACTTATCGGTTGTAACGTAAAGGTAGAATGGCAGACCATAACTTTAGCTGTGTACGTCTCAGGAACGATCTTTTCCACAAGGAATTTTCTCACACCCACGAAGTTTGTATTAAAAGCCGAGGCAATAGATTGAGCTGAGGTGAGAAGGGCGCCCTCAGCTAACAGACTGGTAATTCTAGAGGACGTTTTAGAAGAGGGCAGAGTTTATTTGAAGCTCTCCAGAAGTCTTTAGCGCTTGATTTGCTACTGTCAATTATCAGGTTAGTGTAAAAATTGGATTTGGCTTTCTTGATGCTATGGCTGACTTTGTTCCTCAGATCACGGTACAGACGCCAATGAATACTGCATTTATTTCCCTTGGCTTTCTTCAGGTGGTAATCGCGCTTATTCATAAGATCTGTAACGTGAGAGTTCAACCAAGGAATAGAAAGCCTCTGACCCGGCTTGTTCTTTTAGGAGCATGGGATTCGGCAACCTCTGAGAATAGTTTACTCCAGGTGTTAATGCAGTCATCGATATCTTCATGGTTGTTTACAGCCACATGCCAAGGCACTTGGCGGAGTTCAGATACAAAGGAATCTCTATTGTAGTTTTTATACGAGCGAAATTGAATCGTTTTTGGTAGAGCTCGATAACGACCGCTCTTCATTGCGCAGTAAACTAAAGAATGATCGCTCAAACCAGGATCTATAACATCGGACTCGGTAATTTTTCGTTGAGCATTGGTAAAGCACAAGTCGATGAGAGATTCAGAGTGTTCCGTGACGCGTGTTGGAGATTCAATCACTTGCTTGAGATCGTGAAGCTCAGTAATTCCCTTGAGCAATCGTTTCTGAGACGAATTTGCATTTCTTCTTCCAACTGGAAAATCAATGTCAAAGTCATCAAGCACGACCTTGCCAAAGCCAGAGTCAATCTTAGACAGTGACTCACTGAAGTTATCAATAAAATTGTCTTTAGGTTGATCTGGTGGTCTGTAGATACAACCAACAACAAGAGGTGTACAGATTTTTCGGTTCACTTGAATCCAAACAGCTTCATTTTAATTATTTAGATCTTCGCGAACAGAAAAATTTATAGAATCGCGGCAATAAATTGCCACTCCTCCACCAGCCTTTCTTTGGCGATCCCGCCTCACACATCTATAGCCAGGCATAAGAATCTGGTCATCAGTCACCATATCATTTCGCCAAGTCTCCGAGAATTATAATATATGAAACAACTTTGCACCGCCCATGACGAGATTCACTTGATCCATCTTGTGTAGCAGAGTACGAATATTAAGATGAGCTAGAGCTAATCCTCTACTTTTGGGGCCAAACGATGATCCAGAACTGTTTAATTGAAATGTAGGACCAGGTTAAGAACAGATATCACCAGCTAATAGTATAAGACCAGCAGCACACAGGCCTGGAGCGAGGGAACAGTAGTAGTAAACCGTGCAGATTGAAACACAAATTCGTGGGACCACAAGTTGAAGACTTGAAATATAGCATGGATATTTTACTTTTGAAGCTTATAATCTTGAAGGTATTTATGAGAAGACAAATCAGAATTTGTGGAATATTGTGACAGTTACAAACGCAACACTAGTGGACCATTCTCTACGCTTCGCAGTTAATTGAGTATGGCCACGACTTTTGTTTACCCATGTCGGACCACGTGACCAATCTATGACGTATGAAGCTGAAAAGGTCTATTAAGCAGGAAGGTTCAGGTTACTTAGTGAGGTGTATGAATTTCTTTGAAAAAATTTTAATAGTTTAAGTTTTTTTTATCGACTAGCAACTTCAGATGGAAGGAAAGAGTCCCTCAACAGTACGTCTGGTGGAAACTGTCGAACAAACAGAATGAAGCTGAAATTCTATGTTTGCACAAGCAATGCAGGCAAGTCACCGTTAAAAGTTTCAAGGAGAAGCCCTTTCATTTGGAAAAGGGAAAAAAGAGGGCTGATTTACAGTGTCACAACTGCTTCCAGGGTCACAAAATTAATTGATCACACTACAGGAAAGGAACGATGATTAAAGTGTTTACAACCAGTGAAAGGAAAGATGACATCGTATTATTTTAGATTAAATTCATTTCATGTTTATGGCAGTCAAATCATTGATTTTACCAAATCATTACGCGTTTTCACAGACACCTGTAAAAATAAATAAATTTGGTCCGGTGCAATCTTGCGACCTTTTATTTTTAATTTATTTTGCTTTTCGATGTTTCTGTCTTTGTAGATCCACGTTGCAAAAGTGAAGACGAGTGTAATAGGATCTCTCCAACACAATCTGAATTTACCTCCTCTGAGCCTACCAGCCCGACAAAAACTGTTGAATCTCATTCAACTCTCA